TTTGAATATGAAAGTGTAGCCTTTGGCTAAAATGGATTTTGTAGTTTAATTTTTATAAGCATGAATTCCAGGTAATAACATGGTTTTTAGATGAAATGGTATTAGTATTTTTTCTTTCTCTTTTCATCTTTGCTGCTTGTTTGCATAGAACAATCACTATAATTTTTTGAGCGTGGCCCTTTGTAGTGAAACTTGAGTTCACAATTTTTTGTTATGTCACTCAGTAAGGTTATAATATCCTTCAAAGGTGGGTTTCTTTTTCTTATCAGAAGAATTGCATTTAATAATTTGTTTCAGTTACAGTGGCATTCTGTTAGTAAGTTTGCAGAGTAAATTCAGTGTTTTGAAAGGTCTTGGTTGTGGATGTGATAGAGAAATTTTATTCCAACTGATGTGTCCCATGAGAAGAGCCTCAGTGGGTGATGTGTGCAAGATGATCCAGTGCTTGGGAATCCAGTGCCAACAGAATGAGTGGTGTGGAGGCTGTGGTGGGACTTGGTGCTATGATGCCATGGGGAGAAAGAGCTGCAATAATTTGACACTGTTAGGCCTTTTCCACAATTTGACACTTGTGACCTGGGGCATGGAGGGACTGAGGGGCACCAGCAGAGAGAAAAGCAGCGTGGCATTTTATTTCCAAGTTCTAATGTTAGGCTCAAATGTCCAAAAAGATTGATTTACTTACATTTCTTCATCACACCACTTCTTGCTTCTCCTTTCGAAGTGACTGCCTTCTCTCCCTGGCAGGTTCTTCCTTTTCTCCTATCCTCCAAATCTTGGTGAGCAACAAGGATATGTCCTTGGATTTTTTGTTTGTTTTTTCTTTCTTTCTGTGCTCTCTTTATTGGTGAATTCACTTAGATTGTGTTACTATCTTCTATATTTTGACAACTTTCAAACTTACAGCTCCAGGCCAACAATCTCTCCCATACATTTTACTGCCCTTTAAAACTTTACTCAGTTCACCTGGCATTTCCAGGGTAACTTTCCCCAAACTGGATTCCTGCTTTCCCCCCTTAACCCAGTACCTCCTCCAGCCTTCCCCCTCTCAGCTCCTGGCAGTACACAATCCTTAGAATTTTCTTTGCTGCCTCTCTCTTTCTCTGCCTACTCCCACCTTGCCATTTCATCAGCAAACCCTGAAATAGAATTTGACCACTCTCCCCACCACTACCTTTACCATTTTTGGACTAAGCTGCTGTGGTCTTTCCATAACGTCTAACTGGTCTTCCTCCAGCTTGCCCTGACTGCCAACATCTCTGCTCAATGCAGGGATCAAAGTGACCCTTTTTACTCTAAGTTTCTCCCTTGTTCAAATTTTCCAGTGAGTTCTCATTTTATACATAGTAAGACCCAAAGTCCTAAAAATAGCCTTCATGTTTGAGTTCAAAATGACCTAAAGCAATAGGTACAGAAACAAATACATACACAAGTGGGGAAAACAGATACCACCATTGAGAAAGAATTCTCAATAATTTCAAAGAGAACAGTGACTTTACTGTGTCAAAAACTGAGAAGCTCATCTTCAGTAGTGAACAAAGTCATCGGTGATGAACAAGGTCAACATCAACATTGATAAAGTCCTGTTGATATGTGATGAAAATAACCCTTTACCACTGTGATCTTCCAAACACAGCCTCAGTGTTATCATGAGAAAAACTTAAGACAATTTTCAGTTGAGGGATGTTCTACAAAATAGTTGACTGTTACTTCCTAAACTATCAAGATCTTTAAAAACAAGGAAAATCGAGAAACTGATAAGTCCAGAGAAGTCTAACGATGTAATGCTTAATATAATATTGCAGTTGCATGGGGTCCTAGGATAGAAAACGGTCACTAGACAGACCCTGTGGAAATCTGAATGAAGTATGGACTTAAATAGTAAACATCAGTATTTCAGTATTGGTTCATTAGTTGTGACAATTCACCACAGTAAGGTGAATTGTAAACAACAGAGGAAAACTTCATTTTGCACTAAATCTAAAGCTAAACTGAAGAAAAAAGAAGGGCAAGAGATCAGGATCAGGAACCAGAAGAGAAAGAGACAACCCTACATTCAAAAGGCTCAGGGTTTCTCCCCCTTAGCACTACTGACCTTTTGGGCAGACAATTCTTTGGGGAAAGTGGGGTGGGCACCTGTTCCCAGGAACTGGAGCATTGGTAGCATTATTCCACCCACTAAATGCCCGCAGCATCTTCCTTCCCGCCTCCACTGAAAATGTCTCTAGAGGTTGCCACATGTCCCGTGGGGCTTGAAATCACCAGTTATAGAGAGGGCTAGTTATCGAAATAGCAGGGACTGCTGTGGTTCTTGTTAGCCATCAGCATCTGATTTTTATTTTTTATTTTATTTAGATTTATTTATTTATTTCTACAAGCACTGGGTACAGTCAGAAGCGCGGGAGGGTGAGAGAATTCACCAGAGCCAGAGCGGGGAGCGGAGCAGAGCAGGCAGAAGGACCGAAGTACACTGCTGAGGGGAGCAGCGGGCGGCAGGAGAGGTCTGCGCGCCATGTGGGACCCTCCTCTGGTGGCCGGGGGGCAGCCGGGGATCGAACCTGCGCTGCAGAGGCTGCGGGCAGCTTTGCAACCCAGCGCTCAACCGCTGCACCACCGGGGAGGCCCAGCATCTGATTTTTAGCTCTTCATCATCACTATTCTTTGCTTACTTGCTTTTCTCTCATCTGAAATGTATCATCCGTGAGGATTTGTTGGTCGTTAGGTTCACTTTTATAATACCAGTGTTTAGAACTGTTTTTCACACATGCCAGCAGCTCATTAAGTATTTATTGAGTTAATCTAATTATTGATGGAGTGAATGAAAGATAAAGATAACACAGTTATGCTAAAGAAATTCAGACAGTACAGAAAGATGAAAATGTAAGTAAACATTGCCTCAGCTGTCTAGTCTACAGAAGTTAACACCGATAACAGTTTTTAAAAATCTGTCCAGAATTTTCTATTTTACGCACATCTGTGTACATACAGTTTCTCTCTCCTCACCCCCCGCCCTTTTAAATAAATATAAATGGTATCAATTTTAGTTTTTCTCATTGAGTATCTGGACATCTTCACCTATCAGCATGTGTATGCTGTCTTAGCTTGTTAATGGCTGCATGATATTTTACATCTAGAATTAAGTAAAAATATTTTAACTGTGCTTGCAGTAGAACCTGGTGTAATATTTTGTTATATAGTGGATACTGGTAATAATGTCTCCTAAAACAGAAGACAGTGCTTCTTTAATGTCCTTTAAAGCATTTTCTTTATATCTGTTTCATTTGTCCTTTGTATATACCTCTGGATTGGAAGCTTGATTCTACATACCTACCACAGTCTGTCAAATAACAGATTCTCAATACCTCTACGTTGAATTGAATTGAAATTTTCACTTGTTTTGATTAAAATCACTGCAACACAGCATAAATACTAAAATTTCCCTGAGTGTCGGAACTATTGACTAAATTAAAGGATAGTTCTAGCAGAAGATTATTTTCTTTTAATTGTTTTCCTAGAGGCCAAAAATCTGTCTAATTTCCTGACTTTATCTGCTCAGGAGAAGGCTTCATAGCTAAAGAGCAATTTAGGGTGCCCAACTTGAACATGATTCACTATCAATTAAGCTTCTAATTGCTTTCAGCATATCAGGTCTTTTCTTTTTTTCCATAATGAAATGATTAATGGGGCAAAGTTGGCAGTAGCTGAGTTAAGATACTGTAAATTAATATTGCCATACTAATTTTCAACCTGGCTGTTAAAGCAGCCCTCCAGTCTGCTCTCTCTTTCCCCTTTGGTCACAGTCACATTTAGTGAATATGCATTTGAGAGTTACTTTGCCAAGGGTACAGTCCTGTCCTCTCTTGACAATGCTAGGTTGTCTTTGTGAAGCTGCTTTGATTTACAAGGTGAATTTGTTGGCAGTAGGGGAACTGTTGGTGTGAAAATAATTTTCCTGCTCCCCTGCTAGGTCTCAGCCCAGTGGACTGCCTTCCGTCCCTCATGTTAAAGGCAACTCTTTCTCAGATGTCCTCTTTGCTTCCCACCTTACCCTCTGACACTTCTGCAGTGCCTGCAGCCTTGCTGCATTGATTGGGCCCTTGACATGTGTAAGCTCAGATGATGCAGGTGTGTGTGTGTGTACACGTATGTACACACGCATGTTCTCTCATCTTGCGTTCTAGTAAGGGCCCCTGGGTGGTGGTGGTTCAGTTAGTTCCCCGAAGACAGAGAACAAGCTGGGGTTGTGAGTGAAGCAGTGATAAAACACTGATGTTTTGGTGAGATTTGGGGAAAGTTCTTTTTAGCATTCCTTTTTGTCAACTGAGTTTCCTTCAGCTCATGTTGGTGGTTCAGAAATGACCTCAGTAGAATACTTGGTGATAGTTATTTTAATACCTTTAAATAGCTATACAGTGATAAAGTTAAAGTAAACCCTTTCATTATGGAAGGAGTGGACTTAATCATTCTTATAAAGAAATAATGTTATTTGGGAATAAATTTTGAAATGAGATTATAAACTGTCATGGGACATCATATGAAACTGTTGAGGATTTTTTGATTATTGTTCTAAATTAGTTGTTAGATGCCTCCCATGGTCAGGGTACTGTAATAGCATTAATTTTGTGTATTTTTGAACATTTAATTCAGTGTATATAAGCAAACTGTTCATTATCTCTCTTTTTTACAACTGCTTGAAGATTTAAGTGTAAGAATGTGATTGGATTATTACATTGATAGGCTTTCATGGTGCTCATTATGGTTCTTTAATTTGAGCCATTAAAATAAGAAAAAAGATTATTTTTGAACAGTAATTCTAAACATTAGAGGAGTCTTGATACTTACATTGGGAAAAATTGAAATCACTACATTAACTCGTATACCATACAGATGGAAAATACTTCATTAAAATACAAAGTCTCAAAATTTAAGAAAATTAAGAAAAAAATTTATTGTAGTCCCCTGAAGGAGTAATTGTTTTATCTTTCTTTTCTGTCTTTCAGATTCCTGAGAGTTAAGCAATGGGGAGACATTTGGCCTTGCTTCTGCTTCTGCTCCTCCTCCTCCAGCATTTTGGAGACAGTGATGGAAGCCAAACACTTGAACAGACACCTATACAGTTTACACATTTCCAGTACAATGTCACTGTGCATGAGAACTCCGCAGCTAAAACCTATGTTGGACACCCTATAAAGATGGGCATTTACCTTACAAATCCTCTGTGGGAGTTAAGATACAAAATTGTCTCTGGAGACAATGAAAACCTATTTAAAGCTGAAGAATACATCCTTGGAGATTTTTGCTTTCTAAGAATAAGGACCAAAGGAGGAAATACAGCTATTCTTAATAGGGAAGTGAAAGATCATTACATCTTGATAGTCAAAGCAGTTGAAAAAAATACTAATGCTGAAGCACGCACAAAGGTCAGGGTGCAAGTGTTGGATACAAATGACTTGAGACCATTATTCTCCCCCACCTCTTACAGTGTCTCTTTACCTGAAAACACAGCCATCCGGACCAGCATTGCAAGAGTCAGTGCCACAGATGCAGACATAGGAACCAATGGAGAATTTTACTACAGTTTTAAAGACCGAACAGACATGTTTGCTATTCACCCAACCAGTGGTGCAGTGGTTTTAACTGGTAGACTTGATTACACAGAGACCAAGCTCTATGAGATGGAGATTCTTGCTGTGGACCGTGGAATGAAATTGTATGGTAGCAGTGGCATCAGCAGCATGGCCAAGCTAACAGTTCATGTAGAACAGGCCAACGAATGTGCTCCCGTGATAACAGCAGTGACATTGTCACCATCAGAACTGGACAAGGACCCAACGTATGCAATCGTAACAGTGGATGACTGTGATCAGGGTACCAATGGGGAAATCGCTTCTTTAAGCATTGTGGCAGGTGACCTCCTCCAGCAGTTTAGAACAGTGAGGTCTTCTCCAGGGAGTAAAGAATATAAAGTCAAAGGAATTGGTGGCATCGATTGGGACAGTCATCCTTTTGGCTATAACCTGACACTACAGGCTAAAGATAAAGGAACTCCTCCCCAGTTCTCGTCTGTGAAAGTAATTCATGTGACCTCTCCACAGTTTAAAGCCGGGCCAGTCAGGTTTGAAAGGGATGTTTACAGAGCAGAAATTAGTGAATTTGCCCCTCCCAACACACCTGTGGTTATGGTAAAAGCCACGCCTGCTTATCCTCATTTGAGGTATGTTTTTAAAAGTACACCTGGAAAGGCTAAATTCAGTTTAAATCACAACACTGGTCTCATTTCCATTTTGGAACCAGTTAAAAGACAACAGGCATCCCATTTTGAACTTGAAGTAACAACCAGTGACAGAAGAGCCTCCACCCGAGTCTTGGTTAAAATCTTAAATGCAAATGGTAATGCTCCTGAATTTACCCAGACAGCTTACAAAGCATCTTTTGATGAGAATGTGCCCATTGGTACTACTGTCATGAGCATCAGTGCCTTAGACCCTGATGAGGGTGAGAATGGATATGTGACTTACAGTATTGCCAATTTAAATCACGTGCCATTTGTGATTAACCATTTTACTGGTGCTGTGAGTACTTCAGAAAGCTTGGACTATGAGCTCATGCCTCGGGTTTATACTCTGAGGATTCGAGCATCAGACTGGGGCTTGCCATACCGTCGAGAAGTCGAAGTCCTTGCTACTGTAACTCTCAATAACTTGAATGACAACACACCCTTATTTGAGAAAATAAATTGTGAAGGAACAATTCCCAGGGATCTTGGTGTGGGAGAGCAAATAACTACTGTGTCTGCTATTGATGCTGATGAGCTTCAGCTGGTACGATATCAAATTGAAGCTGGAAACGAACTAGATTTGTTTAGCTTAAATCCCAACTCTGGGGTATTGTCACTTAAACAATCACTAATGGATGGCTTAGGTGCAAAGGTGTCTTTTCATAGTTTGAGAATTACAGCTACAGATGGAGAAAATTTTGCCACACCCTTGTATATCAATCTAACTGTGGCTGCCACTCGCAAGCCAGTCAGCTTGCAGTGTGAAGAGACTGGAGTTGCCAAAATGCTGGCTGAGAAGCTCCTGCAGGCAAATCGGTTACACAACCAGGGAGAGGTGGAGGATATTTTCTTTGACTCTCACTCTGTCAATGCTCATGCACCACAGTTTAGAAGCACTCTTCCAACTGCCATTGCAGTAAAGGAAAACTACCCTGTGGGTTCCAGCATAATTTCCATGAATGCCTCTGACCTTGACACTGGCTTCAATGGAAAACTAGTCTATGCTATTTCTGGAGGAAATGAGGATAGTTGCTTCACTGTTGACATGGACACAGGAATGCTAAAAATTTTATCTCCACTTGACCGTGAAACAACAGACAAATATACCCTGAATATTACAGTATACGACCTTGGTATACCACAGAAAGCTGCCTGGCATCTTCTAGACATCAGAGTTTTGGATGCCAATGATAATCCACCAGAGTTTTTACAAGAGAGCTATTTTGTTGAAGTGAGTGAAGACAAGGAGGTTAATAGTGAAATCATCCAGGTGGAAGCCACAGATAGAGATCTAGGACCCAATGGACATGTGACATACTCGATTCTTACAGACACAGATAAGTTTTCCATTGACAGTGTTACTGGTGTTATTAAGATTGCATACCCTTTGGATCGCGAAATACAGCGTGTGCATTACTTAAAGATTGAAGCCAGGGATCAAGCCAAAGAAGAACCTCAGTTGTTTTCTACTGTACTTTTGAAAGTATCATTAGAGGATGTTAATGACAACCCACCTAAGTTCATTCCACCTAATTACCGTGTGAAAGTTCGAGAGGACCTTCCAGAAGGAACCATAATCATGTGGTTAGAGGCCTATGATCCTGATTTAGGTCAGTCTAGTCAAGTAAGATACAGCCTTATGGACCACGGAGAAGGAAACTTTGATGTGGATAAACTCAGTGGAGCAGTTAGGATTATCCAGCAGTTGGACTTTGAGAAGAAGCAAGTATATAATCTCACCGTGAGGGCCAAAGACAAAGGGAAGCCAGTTTCTTTGTCTTCCACTTGCTTTGTTGAAGTGGAAGTAATTGATGTGAATGAGAACTTACACCCACCAGTGTTTTCCAGCTTTGTGGAGAAGGGCGTTGTGAAAGAAGATGTGCCTCTTGGTTCATCGGTCATCACCGTATCGGCTCGAGATGAGGACACAGGAAGAGATGGAGATATCCGATATTCCATTAGAGATGGTTCTGGCATTGGTGTTTTCAAAATAGATGAAGAAACAGGTAAATGTTGTTACTGCTCTGGATTGCTATGCTTCCCCTCCCATTTTTCCTAAAGTAAATAACTGCCTTGTGTTAGTTCCTTCGTAATTTTCCACTTGCCTTTATTCAGCTCGAGCACAGAAGTATATGCGCAAGCTTTTTTGTCCTGTTGCAGGTGTCTTTATGTGTGGCTAAGATATGAGGATGGAATCAAGGGAATCACGACTGAGTTGACAAAAAATGAGTTCAAAAACAGACAAAATTGTTACCAATAATACTGATCTCTGAGTTTGTACTCCATATTAGCAGCAGCATCATTGTGGTTTTGGTGTAATTTTGAGAAGCACTTCCAGAGCATTTCAAGCTAGTATGTTTGCAGACTCACACTTAGGACAACCACATCACTGTTGTAACATGCCCTTCAGAGATTATTGCATACACGTACAGTTGTGCAGTGCACAGAGAAGACACTGTGTTGAAACGTAAGTGATAAGATCGGCTTTACTTAGTATCCCCTCCCGGTTCTGTTTGCAGGGCAGACATAGGGTAGCGCAGTATTGAATTGAAAATACTGGCTTGGAATCCTGGCTCTTTTGTTGTTAATTGGGTGATTTTGGTTAGGTTCATTATCTTCTTAAAACTCTTCATTTGGGGAAAAAAACCCAAAAACTTCATTTGTGAGATGAGGACACTTATAATTAACCATAAGGTTATGTAAGGATAAATTAAAATAATATGGAAAAGTTTCCTCATTTGTGTTAGCCTATTAATGCCTTTCATAAATGGTAGTAATGCTTTGTTGCGATGTTCTTCCTCCTAGAATAAAGTCCTACAGACAGATCAACCGTGACAGTCAAATTCATGTTGGAGTGTGCATTGTTTTCCACTCCATACGTATTTCTAATTTAAGTGCTTTTCACAGATACCATAATTTATGTCAGTCATCCCTGGTGGAATGTGAGCCTTTCTTTGTATTACTTTGTTAGGACTGCCATAGGAATACTATAGACTGGGTATCTTAAACAATAGAAACTAATTTTCCTACAATTCTGGAATCTAGAAGTCAAAGATCAAGGTTTCAGAGGCCTCCTGCTGGACATGTAGATGGCCATCTTCTCCTACATATATGTATGTTCTCTCTTGCTGCGAGGACACCAGTTATATGGGGTTAGAGTCCAGCCCATGACCTCATTTTAAAGGCTCTATTACCACATGCATTTAGATTCTGAGGGATGAGGACTTCAAGAATTTGAGGGACACTATTCAACCCAGAGCAGTCTCAGAATAGCATTAGGGACAGACTTTAGGCTCCATTATTTTCTATCCTCAACACTTAACAAAAAGTGTCTGGCATGTGGAAACTCCTTATTAAATGTCAAAAGAATTAATGATTAATGATTTTTCCCCCCACTTTGAATGTCCTGTCCTCTGAGAATGGTGGTAGAAATAGAAGGAAACTAGGCAATCACAGCACTAGTCAGCCATTGGTAGAGTTCAATTCATTAAGCTCATTGGTCTTTCCAAAAGAGATTTAATGACATTAAAACTTTTTTAAAGTTTATTCAATAATACCACAAGTAAGTTCTTAAGTCAATTTCCATCTGCTTACCCATCCCTGCATTTAGTAAGTGTATAGCATGTGAAAGATACAATAACTGCCTTAGAAATAAGTTGTTTTAAAAAGACTGTTATATTTTTAATGTGCCTTTATTCAAGGGGTTCTTTTTTATAAGGAATTATGTACCAATAGCATATGTTAGTTTTATCTACAGATTAAATATTACTCATCTAAAATATCCATAGCATAATTCAACAGAAAATGGTATAATCAGTGGAGGTTAGTAATTCTTCATCCAAAGAGTAGACTATATCTTTTTTTGGTTATATTCCCTCAATATGAATTAGAATCTTTAGGTAAAATGTCAACATAGCAAACTGCCCAAAACTTAGTAACAGAAGCTTAAACTATATATGATGTTATGTGAGTTTACTAAAGACAGTTATTTTTGCTTTTTTTCTATTCCAAGGTGGGTTTTGAAAGCCTCTAAACAACTGTTGTATGTTAAGACACAAAATAGAAACCCCAAATCTTAATTTACATTTTCTTGATGACTTAAATTATATGTGCATTGCCTTTTGAAATTTTTTTTCAAGTAAAAGTATTTTTATTGTTGCTTTTTAGAAAGTAGTATTTTTCTCTTTAAATGAAAGAGATTGGGATATTTTTACTACAAAGAAAAAAAAAAAAACTGAACAAAACAATATCCTGAAATAGGCCTGTGGTGGTTTTCAGAGCTTAATGGCAATGCCGGACTTTTTCAATTGGAACTTGGTGGGAGGTCAGAGGATGATTCTGATGATGGCCAGTGGGGTTAGTATATAAGAAATTGTTCTGCATTTGTGTAAATATTGAGATTTAAAGGTGAGAGAAAAGTTGGAAGGTCATTTTTAGATCATCTATTCTGTCGTCCTTTACACAGGAAAAGACATGTAGTGTACAGTAGATTTATGTTTATATGCTTTTTGAAACTGGATTAAAGTCAAGTAGTAATATTTGCACATTGACCTGGCATATATGACAAGGTATATTTTGGCAGTAGTATCAACCCAAATTATTTCAGAGATTTTAAGGTAGTTCCTATCATAGTGTAGAATTCCTTCAGAAAAGTCTGTATGTTTTGTGCTGCAGTGATACTAAAATTAGGCATGCTGATTTTTCTTTTGTGTTTAATTTCTAGGGCTGCTTCAAAATGTGGAGAGGTATCTGTCAGATAGATAAAATAGGGGCAGTTCAGAAGTACCAGTGAGGACCCTACTGGCTATAGTACTAAACCTCGATGTGAATTGTAATTGGTCTGACTCAGGGCAGGCTTATTAGCACTCTTCGAGAACTTCATTCTCTCTCTGCTCATTGCCCATTTCTCCTGGGCTCTTCCTTCTGTGTCATGCATTTAATATTGGGCTAATTGATACAGGTCTGCACAGGACTGCTTGACTTTTACGGTCCTAGAACCTGCCCACTTACCTATCTTTTTTCTTCTTGTCTTTGACCTCATTTTGAACTACAATACTGGTGGAGTAATAAAACCCAGATTTCGTGGGTGTTTTACCTGTTTCAACTTTGTCAAATACGGGTATCATTTGTTTGCTTCTTAGAGAACATACTTCACAATCAAATTTAGTCCTTACTATTTTAAAGGTCCTTCCTTTCTTTAAAACATCTATTTAAATTTTAAACATCCCTTAAATAGTAGTTTTTAGTTTTTTTTTTTTTTTTGATAAAAATTCTATGAACTTCCTGAACTATGTAGCCAAATGTGCGGTTCTCTTAGCTCTGGATTTTGTATGTTTTTGCTAATTGACTTTGCAGGGAGGTACTATGTAATTGCTGTGTGGGGGTGACAGCCATTTGACTCATCCCTAATCTCTCACTGTCTCATATTCTTTTCCTGGAGAGGCCTCTGGCTATTTTAGTGAACTGTTCTGACAAATCCACACCCACAGGATTGCTCTGTTTGAGGTTCCGAGTAGAGTGTAATGTGAAAAATCATTTGGAAAGTTGGTCTTGTTAGAGGGCCAATCTCCAGTGCTTTAATTAAGATTCATCCCCTTTTTTGTCTCCTTAAAATGTGAAAATTACAAAGCACATTTAACAGAAAAGTTTGTATAGTAAGTATCTTTGAAGCGTGCATAATTTCACATCTAAGTTGGTTTTCATTTGCACAACTTTCTACTCAGCAGTCACTCATCCTCACTTCAGATATGTTCCTAATTCCTGTTTGCTTTCTTAGAAGCTTCAGATTTGAGCATGGTAGAATCTCCTGTAAGTTTGTGGTGTAAATTCACCTATTGTTAACTTGAACACCAATGAAAACTTGCCGCTTTTTGTTAGTTTTAAAACTACAGAAGTGTCAAGAAAAATGGTCTGTTAAAAGATTTCAAAAAATGCTAGGTGGAGTCCCCTGATATATGTATTGCTAACTAGATGCCCTGGAGTATGTTCTCCCTTCAGGTTCAGTTTTTGATCAGCATGAGTTTTGACCTGCTCCATTTTCAACCTGGACCTGTTCACCCCTCCTTAGGCAACCTGGTGGTCCCCCGCCTCCTGGGAGGTCACCTTATTAATGCCCAACCTAGTCCAGACACCCAGTTGGCATAACGCACTGCAGCACAGAACTCCTGGGCTCAAGCCATCCTCCTGCCCCAGACTCCCGAGTAGCTGGCACTGCAGGCTAGTTTAGCTTTTGGCTCTTCATGTTGTGCAACCCATTGTGCTTCCCTTCTGACTCAATTTATTTTGGGGAGACCATGCTTTTCATTGCGATAAGAATGAATTTCTAAACTTATTAGTGTTGTGTTACTCTCAGACTTCCAATATGGTTTTAGGATTAAAATTTATTTTGATGAAAGAACGTGGGATGAATTACTATGGAAGTCAGCTGTTGCAGCAAGATAAATCACCATTCATGAAATGGGGAAGGAAAAACAAGGACTGCGTTTTTCTTAAGAGAACCTGGCCACTTTTTCATTTGGGGGGGAGTGTGAGTGCACTACTCCTGTATTATGTATTTGGAGACAGGCTCCTGGCCTTCCTCAGTTGAGTGGACACAGGGTGGGTGGCATGTTTGGGTAGTGGGAACAGAAGGGGATTTTAATCTAGGCTAACCTTATCGCCTGACCACACTGTGAGAGGAAAATGTTTTCTGGTTTGGCAGAATTGTATCTTAATTATTCACTCAAGTTTAGAAAACAACTTTTCCCAACTAAAAGTAGGATCTGCAGGCAACCAGGAACCTATGTTATTTCCTCAGACTTCTTCGCTGATGACAGGAAATAGAATGTAGAAACATTTCATGAGTTCCGGTGTCATGACCAAAAAGTAAGAGTGACTAAGAGCCCTTAGAAGTGGGGTCCACTGTGGTGGGACCAATTACCTCTGTTGGAGCTGTGTCTAAAATTCCTGGCAGCAGGAACTTAAATAGATATTGGTGGGAGGCCTCTGTAGGGAGGTTAAGAAATTT